TGTCCATTAAATATACATTTGAACAGCACTTCCACCTGCACTTTGTCACCTCAGGTTCTCAAGGGGTGTACCTCCACTTGGCTCTGAGCTCAAGGGCGCCCTTGATATCATCCCGAGAGTGCCAACAGGCATGCTAATGCCCATTTGAAATAGCTTTTCCTTTGCCTCAGATGTTTCCATGCACTCAATGAATAAAAAGTCCCTGCTTCACTCCGTCTGCGGTGCTATAGGACGACCTCACCTCATTCTGTCAGTGAGCTACACTTGCTTTCAGGCACCTCCTAGACTTTGCTTCCCTTCCTGGAGTGTGTCGTGTGTCCCTCCCTTCTTTAAGATCCACGTTAGCAAAAGGCTGTGTGTGTATTGATCTAAGCTTACCTTCTTGTAGGCACTCACCCCACTGCTGTTAATACTTTATTTCTTTTCAAAATGTCCATGTCCCCTGGAAAAGTAGAAATACCCTGTAATTATGACCTCCTTCTGAACCAGAAAGAATGTAAATTGTGGAAAGGGAACAAAAAGCTGATATTTTTGCAAGTGAAACTTTGGCAGTAAAGAAAATTTGTTCCTCTGCTGTAAGAGGTGTCTATATGGGTCACTGAAGAGGTTCTTTACTGGGAATAAGTTAAATTCAGCATCTACCATCTTGTCCTGTGGGTGAAGCATGCTATCTCAAATACGCAACACAACCCAAACTGGGTGTCATCTTTTTTAATCTTTCTTTTTTTATGAATCACTTCCAAGTCTTGGGGGTAGGACATCACGACAGACAGTTCCTCAACAAAGAACTGACATGAGAACAAAAGCTATTCCTGAAGAGTTCCCAAAATAAAAGTGAGACAGATGAGTGAGGAAAAGTTGCATGGGTGTTTCTTCAAACAAGAACATGGTCAGAAAAGAGATATCAGAAAATGTAGATTCATTAAAACTGAAATGCCTCACAAAATTGTCAGTTTTGCAGAAATGTGTTTTAGGGAAAAAACACAAGAAGGCTCCAACACTGTGAATATGTCAGGTTTGGACACCTTCAGAGCTAACAGTGTCAGTGTTTCATCTTAAAATGACTTCTCATTTTAAATATACTTGTATATTTTACATTCTAGTACCGTACTGCATAGCAAAACCAGCACAGTTGAGGCAGAGTGAATCCATCCTAGAACCCTCCTCTGTCAGGAGTAATTTCAAAATTTGGGATTTTCATTCTAAATTGAACTCAATGTAAATTTCAAAATCTCAAATTCCTTTGGAAAACAGAATTTCCAGACTTTGACTAACACTGATTTAAACCTCAGCTCTCTGTCAACAGCTAAGTCAAGCTTTGGGACATGATGGTATCCTTCTGAAAAAAGGCTCCTGCTCGGCTCCCCTTTTCAATGGCATCGGTGGGGGCTGCCTTGCGTAAATCTAGACAAAAGATGCTAAGCAGTTGTCCTGAAAAACTACAAATAGTTAAGTGCTTGGCCATATTCTGGACCCTGGGCAATATCTTTCCGTATAATTATTTCTGCTGTTGTCATTAGCTCCGGCACTCTCACTATTTATTACCATAGGTATTTCGAGACTCATAAAAATGTGATCTTACTAAGGCTTAAGCAACACATGAAATAAATCAGCAGCACTGAACATTGGCTGACACTGGATGAAACCTGGCTGGGAACAGCTGGATTGCTCTCTTGACTAAATATTTACAAAAGCCATGATTATATCACTGAGTGACACTGTGTGAATATAACAATTTATCAATCATCATGTTTAACTCAAATCCCTGCAGGAGGGGATGGCATTCTCACTTAACAATAAGTATCTACTGTATGCTAATTAATTGACTTATTTTGCAGCTAAGGTTACTTCAGGGATATGTGGGCTTTTTAACTACCCATTTCCTAAGCACTGCTATTACTTCAGAGGCACAGAAAACAGCAAGTCCAGCTGGGCTGTCACTTGCACCGGTACACATCCAGTAACACCGCTGGAATTACTTGGGGCACACGCTGGAGCAGGGGTAACCACAAACCAGTGCACAGAGTCTATTTTGTTGCCCACACTCCCCCCGCTGTTCCCCTGCCCGCTGCAGGGTGCCCACGGGTGGTGAGTACCCCAGAAGCTTCCCTGCCGTTCCCCCGCCGCCGCCGCGGGACCTGCTTTCCACCAGCCTCTCCCAATTTGGTCTCCTGCCCTTGCACGTCCTCTCCCGAGTAGCTGGCGGTGCTCACGGCGCTGGCTGGCAGCCGCCGTCCAAGCTGAAACGCCCTTGTCCCCAGAAAATGTTTCCTGAATTTTCTCACCCTGCGCTCGCCGCGTCAGGCACAGCTGAGTGTTTGTTCGCCCTGAAACTGCCTGAAGTTTCACCTCATACCGTGGGGCTCTACAGCACCAAACCCAGCCTTGCTGACAGCACCCTCACGAGTCTGAACAGAACGCACGGGACAACCTGCCTGCCTGCCAGCAGTGAACCCAGCACTGCTTCCATCAGAGCTGGTCAGCACTGACTGGGGAATCTTAATCCTGAACCTCCCAAAAAGGTCACTGGCCGCCAAACACAAGCCTCCCTGCTGCAAGGAGAAAAGGGCTGGAATGGGAAGAGGCAAGCTTTGCCAAACTGTGGCATTGGCAGGGAACGTAAGGATTGTGTTCGTATAGATCGGAGCAGCAAGTGGACCTGAAGATAAAGCCAGCACATGTCACACTGGTAGGAAATGCATACTTGGGCACCAGAAACCACTACCACATGGCAGGAGCTTTTTATAAAATCCTCCACTTTCTGCTTCATGACAGATTAACTCTCTTGCACCAGCAATGGCGTGAGCAGTTCAGCTACTTTTCTGTCTCCTTCAGATTACAGGTTTTTTACAGAGAAAACACAAATCTCCCTTCTGCCAGTCCCACAGTGCAGACACTTTAAAAAGTTTTTCTTCAAAATGTCACGCAGGTACATGGATAATGCAGCAAGTTTGTGTGGATCCCAGGCTAACATTCAAAATGAAGAGTTGGCATCCATGGCTCACCTCTGGAAACTACTTTTAAACCTTGTCTTTCTTTCCAAGAAGCATTGTTCAAAAAGAAGAAAAAGTTTGGGGTGATGAAGTCTCTGCTCCCTTGTGAGCTTGAGAAGAAAGTTTCCCTCATACTGATCTTAGAGGTAGATATTTCTTCCCATTTTGTACATGTTGAGAGTCTGCATAATAATTGTATTTTAGCCTTTGGAGCCCATCTGCCACCAAAGGGAAAATTTCACCTTCTTCTGTCTACCTACAGAGAGGTTTATAAATCAGTAAGCACACAGACATGGGAGCGCAAGTCTTGGTTGCCCTTCCAGGAGCCCTTAATGGCTCAGACAATCACAGCAAGGGCTCTTTTCAGAAACACGGGGAGCAGGGAGAGAAGTTACGATAAATTTAGTTTTCTTTTGAAGTTAATAACCTCCTACAAAGGCTTTTGGTAAAACACAGACACCTTAACATTTTTTTCCCTTTCAAACAATTTTTTCCTCTATTTTTTCCTCAGATGGTAAAATCTGAGAAAACCTGTCTCTTCAGAAGTAACTGCTTTGTGTGAATGACATCAGCAGACCATGAGGTTACCACTGGTAAGTTGGCACCCTGAGGGGGATGAAATGAAATCTCTTATCAGCCTAGTTGCTCCTCTTCTTTTCTACATTTGGTGTCTTTTGTAATATGCAAAGCAAAGGAAATGTTTTGCTCCTCTTGATTTTTTTCACCTTTTTTTCTTTTTTTTCCTCAAGAGAAGGAACAATACATTTGACTGGTTTCTCCAAAGTCTCAGCTGCTGATTCAGGTCTGTTTGGTACCTCATTCAGAGGTGAATGATTTAGACCTCCTCCTCTTTCTGCTTCACATCAGGCCTTCTCTCACCCACCACTGGGTTCTCCAGAGACTTGTTTCAGGCAGTCTGAAAACCCAAGGGAGCTTGGGTCCAAGGTCTTCCCAGGGGAAGAAGGCCTTCATAAATGTGGCTCATGTTAGCTTTTACAAACTCTTCCCACCACAGCAGAGGCACTTCTCAAAACCATGGCAGTTCCCCAGCGTGGACATCCTGTTGTAACTTGCCTCCTTCAGGCTTCTCTCAGGTCAGAAGGTTTCAGCGGTAGAGACTGTGGAAGGGAGAGGATGATGAGGAGACAGTGGGTGAACATATGGGAAAGTGGTTATAGCACAAGGAAACTCACTTCCCCGTATATGGGATTTCCAGCAAGGGGAGTCATGGCTACTACCTACAAAAACAGGGGACTAAACTGAAAGGTGAAAGCTCCAAGGAAAGATGGCAAGAAGGAGGGACTAGAGTTTGTCAAAGGGGAACATCTGAAATGATGAACCTACCACAACTCACTTCACCATGAAAGCGTCCCCTGGTTTACCAGCCATTTGCCCTAGGAGAGGAGATGGGAGGTAGGGACTTTCTGTATTTGTTTTTAGTAAGTCTCATGCATCCAGTAAACATACATTCTCCTGCCTCAATACATTCAGCAAAGTCAAACAGCTTGTTAAAAGAAGCAACCAGGAAGGACTAAACAGTAGCAAACATGAGAGTCCCCCCCAAAAAAAAAAAAAAAAAGACTTTGCCGGAGACTGGCTGTCTTCATGCTAAGAACAGTTTAATCTTTCCTAAGCTAAGCTTAGAAACAAAGATGCTAAATCGCTGCAGGATCCTGAGTCTGGAATACAGCAGGGGAGACTGGATGTCATCAGGAGGATTGCTCACATACTGTCACATGCAGCTCCTCAGCAGGTGAGGGAATACGTGGAAACAGGGAGAGAACGCTAGCCCAAGGTGGGGTTGAGAACTTTCAGAAACCTGCAACGGAAGATTAAAGGTTAAGGAGCAGAGCTACACACATAGACCTCTATTGCTTTTACAAACAACATGCTTTTATAAACTGTGTAAAAAAAAAAAAAAAAAGTGTATTTTTCTTTTTGAATAAAATAATAAGAACAATGCATAATTTCTTTTTGAAGAGGTTACTTCTGAGTCACTACACCCACCTGACACCACTTGACACCTGCAGAGCATAGGATGCCTGCATCCCGACGTGTACTCCGAGAATACCCAGCAGTTCCCCCCCAGGGATAGGCACAGAAAGCCAGGCCTGGTTTCGGAGCCGTCAGTCGGTGAAGGACAAGCAAAGGTGTCAGCCACCTTGTAAGTGTGACAAGGGGAGGAAAGTGGGCTGAGAGGCGAATGGGTAACTTCAGCACATGACAGAGACATGATAGAAAGGCATGAAGGATGAGATAGTGAAGACATTGGTTTTTGAAGGCTGACACAATTTAAACCAGAATAAGTTTGGTCAAATGTTTATCATAGTCTCTCCAGAAACCTCCACTGTTCGTGTTTATTAATTTTAATGGGATGGTATCTGCAGCTCCCCGTCAGAACCAAGGCTCCCCTGACACATGCATGACAAGAGGATGGGATCCTGCCATGCACAGCGTACAAAGAAGGAAGATAAATAGTGCATCAGGAATAGAGCAGCAGGATAAAACTATCTACATGAGTTTTGGAGCCTTTGAGAGTCCAAATTTTCTTTTGCAAGAAATTATTCTGTCCCCCAAAACCTGCATTCATTCCAAACAAAATCAAGCACCATGTTTGAAATTTCCCAAGCAGAAAAAAAAAAAAACAAAAACAACACACAAAAAAAAAAAACACTATAGTGTTGGTTACAAATATAACATCAAACCAAGTACATCTCAAATTGAGTTCTGAAAAGTGTAGGTTTCAATTAATCCATGCATCTTGGCTCACCTGAGCAGTTCTATGTACACACACACACATCTGCAGTTTTTAAACATATAAATAGGCATCCCCACCTGTCTCTGTTTTGTTGCAGCTGTGTCCTCTTTACGTTTCCCCAAGAAATCATTTTTTGACATAAAAAATTATTCCCCCTAGCTAGCAGCCTGCCTTGAGGCTTTAAAGAAACCCATGGATGCAACAGGAATGAAGCCAACAGCATTCCAGAGTCACCTGGGAGAGGGACATAGGGCATACTCCTAAAACTTAGAGTGTGCAACACTCACAAGCTCAGACTGTCAGCCTGCCCCTGGCAGCTTTTACCATTTCTGATGGCAACATGAAGGAGGACATGAAGACGTGGGACTGATCTCCCCTCGCTGTAACTCCCTGGAAGCCAGGCTGCCTTTATACTCAGTGGAGAGCGAGTGATCCCTCCAGACAGGGAATATACCCTTCCTAAGGCGGGTACCTGAGACAGACGGGATGAATCACCCTCTGAAGGGGCTCTCTCTGCACAGAGAGAATCCCCCTGACACTGTAGAGGGGCCTCAGACCACGAGCCTGGATCTGTTGCCTGTTACAAACCAGATGAGATTAATCCCTCCCAAAGGGACTCTTTCAAAGCAATGTCAGTGTCATCTAAGGATGACCCAGCTCAGTCCTCTGTTCCACCACGTGCTGTATCTTTATGCCTCATTAGTTTATATCAGCCAGCAGAGAATGGATTAGTTAACAGTACTGAGAAGTGCAGTGCTTCCGTTGAAAAACCGCCTGTGTCAAAACTGCACCCCATTTTTGCAAGATTAATTACTGAGCTTTTTATTCTGGTTACTATATCACCAAGAAGTCATATTCTGTCCCAAAACAGTTTTCTACTGTTTAAACCTACAAGACAGCTTCCTTGTTTTAACTCCAAAGTTGTGCCCAATCTGACAAGGCTTAAGTGTAGTTTCACCATTTACTACTATATATTAAGCACTGGCAAACCTTTGTGGTAAGAAGTGAAATCATTTCCATTTTTTTCCTGTCCTTCACCACAAGTCTGTCACACATTAGGAAATACTGGCAAGAGAAACAGTGTTACTGTACTTCTTTACAGAGGTACAAACTGCTAAGAATACATTAAATAACCCAATTTAATTTTACAAGTGCTGGTTGTATTCTTTGATATTTTTGACTTCAGGGACCATCTGGTTTCAAGTCCAGTAAAGTAATTTTTTTTTAATCTTCATGAATGCCAGAGGATTAAAAGATGAATTCAGAGATTTAGGGGCAGGTAACTGTAGTGGATATGGCACCAGAAAGCCTGTCTTCCACAGTGAGCCTTGCCAGTGAGCTGCTCTGTGGCCTTGAACAAATCACCTCTCTTGTACTTCTGTTTTCTTGTCAGTATTTTTGTTTCCTTAAGCGTGTGGTTTCAGAGGAAACTTCTGTGGGTCTGTAGAGTGCCTGATAGTACAGGATCCCAGCATCAAGCAAAGTGACACTATAGTACAAAAATAAGGACAGAAATTTTGGGAAGTACGAGGATTTGAAAGGAAATTTCTGTAAGGTTTTTTTAAACCTCTGATGCTATTGGTGTCTTCAGATCTCCAGGTTCTGAAGGTGTAGAAGTTTTTTAAAGGAATAAGTGTCTGTCATAGATCATAACAGGGGAAAACGTAGTCATCTATGTTTTTGTGACTGGCCTCTATTCTGCTTGACTTGGTTATGTTTAATACCTGTGGAGCAGGTAATTTTAATAAATAAAAAAAGAGAGAAAGGGAGAAAGTGTCAGCATGAGGCTGGGTATGGAGTTATTGAGAACAGGAGTGTAAATGTGTCAAGGAAATCCCCAGTGATCCAAAAGGGAATGTGAGCAGCTTTGCAAGCCGCAGAAGCAAGCTGGAATAATTGTGCAGGGGTCTTAGCTTTGCAGAAAGATCTTCATTTTTCAAACTGTAAATCAAACCAAATTAAATCAAACCTACATTTCCATAGCACCTTTCATACCGGGCTCCCAAGGCGATTCACACAGAAGGCAAAGCCACTCAAGTGTTTATGAACGCAGCAGGTCATAAGAGCGTGCCTTGAGCCAAGGTGTAAATGCTGGGCGCGCAGCAGCAGCAGCAGAAGGCCCTGGCTGAGGGGTCCCCACGCCACGGGGCCAGGCTCTGCGCTCCCACAGGGAGGGGAAAGCCAGGGGACACTGGGCCCAGCGGGGCCACAGCGTGCAGGCCGGTACGTGAGGCGCAGGGCATTCGCGAGCCGCACCGCGTATTCTCAGGGCCTTGTAAAAGACAGGCTTGAGCGAGATGACGACAGGAGAGCTGGTTAACTGCCGCACAAGGACCAACAGAGAGAGAGGAGAGGCATTTCGTGCCTCCTCCGTTCCTTATCTGCAGGGTACAGCGTTGGTGCAAGACAAGGACGCCCTAAAATTGCCCCAGGGTACGCAGCCCACGACTGCAGCCAGCAGCTCCTGGGCAGCAGCCAGGTTTTGGGGCACACGGTCGCCACAGGCCGCCCATCCCACAGCCCACTTTTAGCAGAAGCATCAAACTCCCTGGCCCTTCCCTGGCACTGCCACGGGAAAGGCAGCAGGCTGGCGTGTCCCCTCAGCCATATTCAGACATCAGGCCAGCTGCTGGACCAGACTGGACAGAAATACAGGTACAGCAGCACCCGGGCAGTGAAATCTTCAGCTGCCATGAAACAGCTCTCTTTCTGTGCACCAAGATAAGGAATAAAAAAGCTCTTGGGTGTAAAAGCTGCAAAACCACTGAAATCCTTTCACCAGTGACTCTAGGCAGCCTCACCTTTCTAAGGTAAATTTCATCTCTGCTAATCCTATCAGTTAATATTGAAATCAAATACAATACGGTATTTGATATGACAGTCTCCTTCTTATGAAGTCAGCTGCAGCATTTTTTATTTGCATACGATTTAATTACATTTTCATTCCAGGTCTTCCATCCTGTGTATTGTGGGCAAAAGCACATGAATTCTGTATGACTGAAATGGTGGGAGAGATTATAAAACTTAGAATAATGCTGCAATGTTAAGAAATAAGGAAGAGAAGTATTGTTTTAGGAATGAGGCTTCAGGATTATGGGTAAAGTGAATAAGCAGCACAGTCCCATTACTGAAAGATATAGAGCAACATTTCAGCTGCCCATATAATTTTCAGGATAGCCACAGCCTTTTTCTGTAAGATACTATACCTTGTTTACAGGCTTGATCTAGCCCAATACTTAAGGAGAAAAAGTTCAAAAAGTGCAGAGCAGCAGGTCACCTCAGTTCCAGGCAACCTGCAACTACAGCATTGATGGACTTACTCTCTATGTTTCCAAGATGTGGGCTGTGGGTATGGGGTTATCTCCACCCTGGGTTCTCCAACACTCCTGCTCCCAGATTAACAAGGCGTGTTGAAAATCATAAAGATGTTCTGCATAGTCAGAATGGAAAATACAAGGTTCGTAATAAAAGGAAACAGCCAAGCAGACAGTTGGATTCTGTGCATCAACGACCATTATTTATGGTCGCTGGTTGTGAAAAGCATTAAGACCTCTCAGAGACAAACACTTGCTTATTAGCTGAAGGCACACACACAACATTCAAGTGCAAAGTAATATCCCAAGCCACTTGTAAATAACACATAATGTAGAGTAACTTCACTCTTTGTCACACCAATTGTAGCCATCAAGTGGAAGCTTGATGGAATAGCTGCAAGAAAACGGTAATAGGGAGAAGCCCCTAGTTGTTTTGCACACATGGGGAAGGTTTTGTGAAGACTTGGGATACCAAATATATTCCCAGGCCCAGAGGCTTATGTCCTCAAATGTTGACATGATTATTTACTACTCAACTACATTTAAAAAAAAAAAGTCTGAACTTGTTTTATGACACACGGGTTTGTCTACCATATCAGAAATTGTCAAGGGGAGGAGAATGCTGCATTCTTATATATTCAACTGATACAGTGAAATGGGCAAGGGGAAATGTTTCTGGTCTTCTGAGTGCAGATTTTTCCTGTTCCTGGATTTTGTTCCTAGCCAAGTTCATGATTTCACAGCATTTACTGACTCAGTTTACCCATCAGTAGGCTGGGTATAATGATAGTGCTGCTTCTTAATTCAGAGTTCATGTTTTCATAGTGAGCTGAGACAAACAGAAGGTGCTTTATGAATGTAAAATATTGCTTTTTTTATTCCTCCACTCTGTGCAAGGTCCATAACATTATACAGTAGATAACACGCTCCTTGTGCACAGCATTAACTTCCTTCTTTACTGTAGCAAAAGGACATTCAGAAAGGCAGAGATTTGCAGCCAAGCCAACTCAGACAGGGCTGCCTGTCTATGAAGAATGGGGATGAAAAGCCAATTTTGGTTATTTTAGCATTAAAATGTTTCAGTCATGG